TGGCAGAAGTTACTGAGGAAGCCCTTCAGTTGTGAATAATGGTGGGGACTCTCGGACAGGCCCAGAGGGGAAGGAATTCGGGGAAAGATGTGGAAATTAAGATTTGGGTGCATAGGGTGTACTAGACAGATCTGGACACTGAGGTAGAGAAACAAGGCTGAGATTGTAGTCCAGAATTAAGAGGATCCTTGGCGAGGCTTGAGAGAGGGTGGAGAGTGATAGGGGCAAGTTAGAGCTCGGGAAGCATTGGGGGCAATTGTTGGCAGTGATGTGGTGGGGTCTACAGGTAGTCTCCTCACCCGACAAGGCCCCGGGTTTCAGCCACCAGAAAGTGGACTCCATGCTCGTGACAGAAGGTCCCCACCCTCAGCTGCTCCTCTAGTTTGGAGTCAGTCAGCACCACTACCTACATGGACACCAGAATCACTTGCCACCGTCTTTGCTGTTAAGGGCAGTTGGGAGGACCAGGCTGGCATGCAAACTGAGGCTGGGGTAAGTACCTGGAAAGCCAGCAGGAGGTCCTCAGTGATGTCACCTGTATGGACGGAGATCTGGACAGCTTCATTGAGCTGAGCCAAGAGCGCGTGAGAGGCCTCAGCTCTGCTCCTTCCCAAGCTCTCTTCTGAGAGGAAAAACTAAGGACAGAACAGTGTAGCTTGATCAAAGAGATTCCCCTTTGGCCCTGCTCTGGGAGAGAGCATAGAGACCCCAAGACTCACCTGAGCAGCCAGGTCAGCCCAGCAGGTGGGATGGGGATCATGCAGGGTGAGGCTGCCTATACCCATAAGCACCAGGTTCTTAGCCACCTCAGCTCCTAGGCCCTGCAGGCCTGAGAGCAAGACATTGGCTCTCCGGATCCTCTGCATAGCAGGCAGCCCCAGCACATACCTGTGGTTAAGAAGCAGGAGGGCAGGCAGCTGGAGACCAAAGGTCCGGAGGCCACCCGACTCCGTATCCCACCTTGAGACTCACAGCTGCCTCGAGTATAGCTCCCCATCCATCCTCAGTCCTGGGGCCGGATAAGGTAAAGCTCACAGCTGGCGTCCGGGGAGAAGAGGAGGCGGCACACAGCGGGGCCGGAATCGGTGCAAACAGTAACCCAAGTGCAGCTTGTTACAGTTCCCTCCCTGGCTCCTCGCTAATTTCAGGAAAACAAAAGTGAAACTAGACTGTGAGTTGGCTCCAGTCCTCCTGACAAATGGGGACAGATGCCAGCTCTCTACAGGCCAGTTGGGGTTTATCGCCTGGATAAGTCCCAGTATTACAAGAGGACAGTGAATCTCTGAGTCAGATCCAGAGTGGGGAGCACAGGGCCGCTACAAAGTGAAGACATACATCCTTCTCTTTTTTCAAACTTTTGTTTTGAAATAATTGTAGACTCAGAGTAAGTTGTGAAAATAGCAAAGGGAGTTACTGTGTACTGTTCGTGGTTTTCTATCAGCATATATTAGTTATTCATAATAACATGCTTCACCATGGCACTTTCATACATGTGTATGATGTATTTGATCATACTCACCCCACTAGCCTCTCTTGTCCCCCTCCCTCTTCAACTTTCATGTCTGTTTTTGCGACTTGGTGAGTTTCATAGGATTGCTTACAGGAGGGTGGGCGAGAGGTTATTTACAGAAGCCATGGGCACCTTACCAGTGACTGCAGAACTAAGGAAAATGTCTCCCCCTCCTGGAGGGGCAGGGCCTCATGAGTCCTTGCCCCTCCATGATAGAATGCTCACAGGCATTCTATCATGTAGAGATCTTGTGCAGGTCACAACTATCATGAGTTCAAGAGTACAACAGCCACGTCATGGCTGGAAGACAGTGTTCTGCAAAGACTCCATCCTCCAGTTCTCACATTATTGCATCCTGTTTCCTATGATGCTTCCTGAGCCTTGAATGGGGCTGATATGGATGTCTCTTTTAGGGCTGAGCATTCAACAGTTAATTGCTCTCCACACTTTGACCAGATATGAGTCTCTGCAGTTATCACTGCCCACTACAAAAAGAAGCTTCTCTGGGGCTGAAGAGATGGCTCAGCCATTAAGAGCATTGGCTGCTCTTCCAGAGGTCCTGAGTTTAATTCCTGGCAACCACATGGTGGCTCACAGTCATCTCTAGAAGGATCTGATGCCCTCTTCTAGCATGCAGGCATATATACAGATAGAGCACTCATATACATAAAATAAATCTTTAAATTTTTTTTTTTAAAGTTTCAGGACAGGGTTTCTCTGTGTAGCTCTGGCTGTCCTGGAACTCACTCTGTAGACCAGGCTGGCCTCGAACTCAGAGATCTACCTGCATCTGCCTCCTGAGTGCTAGGATTAAAGGCGTATGCCACCACTGCCTGGCTAACAAATAAATCTTAAAAAATAAAAAGCTTCTCTAACAAAAGCTGACAGTAGTCTTGATCTATGGTCAGAAACACAACTATTGGAAGGCAATGAAGTGGGCACATCATGTATATTTTGTTGTTCACCCATGGGAGCCTATGACCTACCCAACCACTGGCTTTTGACCAGGTTTATAGTATCAGATATGAATTCCCTCCTGTGGAGTGAACCTCAATTTCGTAAGAAAGTAGTTAGCTACTGCCACAACAGATTTGCTATTATTTATTTTCTTGTGATGCTGGGGGTTGACTTTTTGCTTTTTTAGAACAGAGTCTCACTGTGTAGCTCTGGCTTTGGCCTGGAACTTGCTATGTAGACCAGGCTGAAATCACAGTGATCTGCCTGTATGTTTCCTGAGTGTTGGGATTAAAGGCGTGCGCCACCACTCCCAGCCTTGATTTTTTTTTTCTTTAATGATTACAGAAAGCACGTGGAGGTCAGAGGACTTGTGATGACAGTTTGCTCCTTCTGCCACTTGGGTACTTGGGATTGAACTCAGGTCATCAGGTTTGGCAACAGGTGACTCACTGGGCCATCTCACTGGCCCTATTGTTGTTTTATTTTTTATGTGTATGAGTGTTTTGCCTGCATGTATGTGTACCACATGTATACCTGGTACCCGTGGAAGCCATTAAAGGGTGTAGGATTCCCTGGAACTGGAGATGCAGACAGCTGTGAGCTGCCATGTGGGTGCTGGGAATTGAACCTGGGTCCTCGGGAAGAGCAACAGGTGCTCTTAAGCACTGAGCCATCTCTCCAGGCTCTATTTTTGTTTTTTTCGGGGGGACAGGGCTTCATATAGTCCAGGCTGGCTTCAAATTTGTTATAGTCAAGGATGACCTTGTATTTGTGATCCTTCTGCCTTTACCTCTCCTAAGGGCTGGAATGACAGGCATGCACACACTACCACACTCAGATTACATAATCTGATAATGCTGGGCAAGGTAATCATTCTACTGAGCTACACACCTGGCCTTATTTTTTTATTTTTATTTTTGTTGTTATTGTTTTTGTTTTGGGGATAGAATCTCCTATGATCCAGGTTGGCCTGGAACTCATTATGTAATAGACAATAACTTCCACCTCTAAAGTAATTCGAGTACAAGCGTGCACCGTTACCCACGGCTTGTTGCTGGAGCTTGGGCCCAGGGCTTACCACCTGCTAGGCAAGTGTTCTGTACCATGCTCTATCCCTGACCCAACCAGACTTTCTTTTGTTGTTTTTTGTGTTTCGAGACAGGGTTTCTCTGTGTAGCCCTGGCTGTCCTAGAACTTGCTCTGTAGACCAGGCTGACCAGGAACTCAGAGATCCACCTGCCTCTGCCTCCCAAGTGCTGGGATTAAAGGTGTGCACCACCAAGCGGCCACCACTACCCGGCTTTCTAAAACCCTTTTTATCATCCCAGACAGAAACTGTCAGAAGCAGTAACTCCAGCTCCCATTCCTAGTCACTGTTAGAGTTGTCTCTGTCAGTTTACCTATTCTAGACACTTCCTGGAAGTGGAATCACTGAGTAGCTAGCTGTCTACCTCACTTTTCCATTTACGTATCTTGAGTTCTTAACCTATAACCTATTCCCACCACTGGGTGGTTGGTGCCAGTGTCCCACTGCACAGACAACATCGAGAGGATGATTAACCTAAGGCCACTCAGCATGTGCTCGCAGCCAGCCTCTATGTTTCAACCAGATGGTGCAATTCCCCTCACTAAACCTCCTTGGCTTATTTCAGCTCCAAACGGGCTCAACACCTGTAACTGTCTAAGTTACTTTCCTGCTGTGATAAAATACCCCCGACAAAAGCAACTTAGGGGAGAAAGTTTTTATTTTAGCTCACAGTTTCAGGTTACAGGCAATCATTGCAGGGAAGTAAAGGCAGACGGTGGAGCAGCTGATCACACTCAGTTAAGAGCAGAGAGAGTGCCCCCATTCTTGTGCTCAGCTCACTTTTTCTGCCCTTAAACAGTCCTCTGCCTAGGGAATGGTGCCAACTTACAGTAGGCCGGTCTTCCCACCTCAATTCACATGACCACGATAACCTCCACAGACATGCCCACAGGCCACCCTCATCTAGATCTCATCAAGAGGCCCTTACCAAGTGACTCTAGGTCGTGTCGTTGACAATCAAAGCTAAGCACCACATACCCAAGGCTACCATCTCCATCCCCAGACAGCTTGAGGCTTCTCGAGGTTACCTATCAAGCGGCTGGATGCCTTCAGCACGAAGCAGAGGACGTGCTAGGGAAACGGGAGCACTCGGTCTAACAACGGGAGGAAGGCATTTAGGAAATCTTACCCAGACGAGAGGCCAGTAAGGGAGACTCTCTAGCAGAAAGGGCCCCAGGCCGAGACCTGAAAGCTAACAGCTTGGTCCCTGTCTGCTGTGCTTGCCGAGTTCCCTGAATGGAGGGGAGCTCACTCTGCTCACCCCCTCACTTGGCTTATAGCCCAGACTACAGGGATGCCATTCTTGCTAGGGTCTTCTGTGCCCTGTGAGAAAGCCAGGCCTGGAGATAAAACTACTAGCTCTAAGTCTAGGTGGCACTCCCGCTTTAGAAACTCACACCAATTTTCTAAAGTCTTGGTACAAATTTATACACTCAGAGCCAGGAAGAAAAGAAGCCTTTTTATTTTACATGGAAAACTTCCCCCACTTCCCTAACATCCCCTAGTTCAAGCTCAGACACACTGAGCAAGACGCAGCTGAAGGCAGGCAGAAGTTCAGGCTCGCCTGCTTAGGAATCCTCCAGTACTTTCACCTAGACTCACATGTGACCCCGGTCTATAAAAACAGAAGGAGCTCAGCCATATCTGGTTGTAGCTATATGCAAAACCCTCAACTAAAAGCAGGTCCTGCTGACCGGAACTGTAACCTGGTCATATCAGCTCCCAGAGGTGAATCCGTGTGGTGCAGGGCAAGGCGAACACAGTAAGTGCAGTTTCTGCTACCCCTCTTGCACTGTCCAGGAAGAGGAGCCATCTCCCAAAGCACTCCTGGGTTGGCAAAGGTCTTGGCCTACTAATTGGAGACATGACTCTGGTCACTGCTCACTGCCACAGGAAGGTGTCCAGCTTGGGTTGGGAGGAAGAATTCAGGGTCTTTATTCTCACTTTCTGCTTACTCTTGGCCTTGGGCTTCACAGGCATCGGCCGGATAATGGCTGTGTCTGTCTGGAAGCAATGTCAAGGAAGAAGCTTGGAGAAGGGACTGGAATACAGGGCAGGAAAATCTCAGACCCAGGGTCAGGAAGCGCAGATATATTGAACAAGGCGCAGCTCTGCCCATCTTAGGCTGCAGGCACTGGCAGTGAGGAGCCTTGGGATACAGCTCAGGCCATGGCCATAGAAAAAGGATACAGGCTGGATGAATTTTGTTCGTCCTCCAAGCCCATCGAAGCCTACTCTTACCTAGGGCAGAAGGAAGACATGAGTGGATCAGGGGAATGGGCTAGGGTGCTGACCGCCTTGCTCCACCCAGGAGGCCTAGTACCTGCGACCCTTACCGCATCTGTGCTGCAACGGGAATCTGCAGTGGTCCTGTGGGGCTGTTTCTGACCCCGGACAGCATTCCGGATGAAGAGAGGGAAGGCACCAGCCAGTTCCTCGTCTAGCTCTCCTACACAGCGCTGACCACCCAGTGAGAGCTGGGACTCCTGTTGGGGTAATGCCAGAGTCAGACGAGATGAGCTAGACTGCAGCATAGGACATGGGGTAGCGACAGTGAGAGAGAGCTGGTTACCAGCATATCTGGCCGGGCAGCGGTGACGCGCACCTTTGATTCCAGCACTTGGGAGGCAGAGGCGTGGATCTCTGAGTTCGAGGCCAGCCTGACCAGAGTGAGTTTTGGGACAACCAGGGCTACATAGGTTTTTGTCTTTAAAAACCCAAAACCAGCCGGGCGGTGGTGGCGCATGCCTTTAATCCCAGCACTCGGGAGGCAGAGCCAGGCGGATCTCTGTGAGTTCGAGGCCAGCCTGGTCTCCAAAGCGAGTTCCAGGATAAGGCGCAAAGCTACACAGAGAAACCCTGTCTCGAAAAACCAAAAAAAAAAAAAAAAAAAAAAAAAAAAAACAAAACCCAAAACCAAACCAAAATGGAAAAAAATGAAAATAAACATCAGAATATCAGACAGGAGGCAGAGGATAATGCGTTAGGGCTAAAATGACGGCTCTGAAGTCAGTCCTGGGCTCGTGAGGGAAACCTGAACATAGTTTGCACTCTCAGAAATAGAGTTTTTATTTTTCTTTGTTTTATTTTGTTTTGAGATGGTCTCACTAGTCCAGGATGCTCAGAACTCACTACACAGTCCAGGCAGGCCTTAAACTCAAGGTGGTCCTCCTGCCTTAGCTTCCTGAATGCTGGATCACAGGCACGAACTACCATGCCCAGTTTAGAAGGCAGGATCCATGTCAGTCTGGCAAAGGCTGGACGTGACTGCTTATATGTTTGCGAGGAAGCCCGGGCCTTACCTGCTTGGAGACTTTAGGTGTCTTCTTGAGGACGTCCTGCACTGGAGAGCTGTGAGAGTGAGGTGAGAACAAACGCAGGTAAACAAGAAGAGGGCCAGACTCGGTACATGGCCTTTAAAGGAGCCGCTGTGTGGCATGGCTGCCTTTGTGGCTAGGCTTTGGGCAAGGTACCTCAGTGGTCTCTACCCCGAGTACAAATCCGTGAAGGGCGGAAAAGAAGAGTGCCGGGGTCAGGGTGGACCAGACCATGTCCCAGTCTCTGGCTTCATTTCAATGCCCTCCAGGTTCCTGGGCTCTCACATGTTCTGGTCTCTACCCAGTGCTAGGGAGCCCAACCACCTTCCTATGCACAGGAGGCCATCCACTCACACCCTCTTAAAGGCAGAAGCTATCAAATGCGCTCAGGCCCTACCCTGTCTGTCTGGGGGCTACCTCTGGAAGACCCCCAGGAAGTCAGCCTCTCAGTAAGACCCGGTAAGGCAGTCTGCAGTGCTCCCAGAGTCCCTATAGAACCTTAGCCAGAAGGGCTTCTGGCAGAAAAGAGCATGAGCCGAGATGTGGCTTTCTACTCTTTTTTTTTTTCTTTTTAATTTTTTTTAGATTTATTTACTTATTATGTATACAGTGTTCTGTCTGCATGTTTGCCTGCAGGCCAGAACAGGGCACCAGATCTCATTACAGATGGTTGTGAGCCACCATGTGGGTGCTGGGAATTGAACTCAGGACCTCTGGAAGAGCAGCCAGTGCTCTTAACCTCTGAGCCATCTCTCCAAGCCCCATGGCTTTCAATTCTTAGTGTCAGAGCTGGACACTATTTCCATTCAATTCCCGGGACCCCAGCAGCTAGATACCCCCTCCTGGAATTTTCCAGTTGAGAGAGAAGATGATGGACTAAGGTTGGCCCGGTGGCTTCTCAAGCCAAAAGAAAGGGGTAGGAGCAGGGCCTGCTAACTCTGGGTTCCTCTGCTCAGTTCCCTAACCTGTAGTGAGCCCCCATGATGACCAGAAGAAGACTCTCCACTGTCACAAGTCTGGCTCTGGTGAGGCTAAGCCAAGTGCTCCCTCGCTCCTCACAGTCCCTGAAGATGGTGAAGTGTCTACAAGCCTGAGGACCCCAAGGTCTGCAATCACTGTTTCTTTTCTCTTTGTTTCCTCCCTCCCTCCTTCTTTGCAGAACTGGGACTGAATCCAGGGCCTTGTTCACGGGAGGCAAACACTGTCACTGAGCTACATCCCCAACCTGTGCCTTCAGTTCTGACAGCTGAACAGGAAGCCACAGAAGGAAGCCAGAGTAAGGAGCTGACACTGAGGAACTCTGGGCTGCAGTCCCCACGACTCAGACTTCTCATCACTACCAGGCCTGGCCCTCTGCTACACGGCGTTAAGCCCAGCTGGCTTGCCCTCTCCTTCTCTTTCACGGCACTGCCTAACACAACAATTTCTTTCTCTTATATCCAAAATCTCGCGTTAAGATCTCCTTCGAACGAGAGAGATGGCTCAGCAGATAAAACTGTTTGCTACCAAGCCTGTTGACCTGACTTTGATCCTCAGTCCCCACATGGTGCAAGAAGAGAAACAACCCCCACAAATTGTCCTCTGACCTCCATATGCATTCCACATACATACACAAAAATAAATAAGTGTAATTTTAAAAAAATGTAAAAAGAGCCGGGTGGTGGTGGCGCACCCCTTTAATTCCAGCACTTGGGAGGCAGAGACAGGTGGATCTCTGTGAGTTCGAGGCCAGCCTTGTCTACAAAGTGAGTTCCAGAACAGACTCCAAAGCTACAGAGAAACCCTGTCTTAAAAAAAAAAAAAAAAAAAAAAAAGGGCTGGAGAGATGGCTCAGAGGTTAAGAGCACTGGCTGTTCTTCCAGAGGTCTTGAGTTCAATTCCCAGCAACCACATGGTGGCTCATAACCATCTATAATGAGATCTGATACCCTCTTCGGCAGAACACTGTACATTAAAAAAAACAAAGTAAAAAGAATTCCCTTACTGGAGTAGCACACCTATGTATATGAAGGAGCACGACCTATGTATATGAAGGAGCATGGTTGTCTTCACGGTGACACACAAGTGTGCCTGGCCAAGGAGATGGCGTTCCCCCCTACCCCCACCCCAGTTCCACTGCACGTCTAGAGCAAGTCCCACCTGTCCCCTCCAGCTCCACACAGCTCCTCATGTCTGCCAACATGGGCTCTTTCCGTGGGTGGTAGGGTCACAGGATCTATGGTCTGAGATGGTCCTGCATTAAGCATGAACCTTAGAGGCACACACTGGGAAAAATTCAGAGTCCCACACTCAGGACTCTGGTGGGTAGGCATTCAAAGTATTGGGATACCTGTCTCCCCACCAGTCCAGACTGGCCCTACTGGGACTAGAAAATTCTCTCTAACATCGAGAACGATAAGGATGAAAGGAACAAGCAGAAGGACTGTACACAGTGTGCACTCGGGCCAAGGAGAAGAGGAAGAGGTAGCGTGACCCAAAGCTGCATCCTACTGAGCAGCCTCATCCCACTCAGGGCTCTCAAGGCAGGACCTACAGATGGCTTAGCTACTCCCCACCAGGTTCTGGGAACTGCCAGGGGCTAACACTCACCATGCCCTCTCCAGGCAGAGCTTCTTGGGGTGGCCATGCTGGGAGCTGGAGGTCTGGACTGGAGGGGTATCTACATCAAAGGTAGCATTGAGGTCAATCTCATCACTGAAGGATGGCCGGTGGAGCCTCGGGTTCAACATCTCCACGGGGGCTGGGCTGAATGAAGGTAGAGATAATCTTGTTACTTGGGACTGCAGCGCCAACCCAGAGAAATCACAGCTCCTGAAGTATCAGAGGCAACTCAGCTTGGCCTGGTGAGATGGCTGAGCTGGTATATAGAGTACTGTTTCCAAGACTGAAGCCCTGAGTTCAATTCTCAGAACCTCTAGCTCAGGGTTCAAGGCCAGCCTAGTTTACAAAGCACATTCCAGGACAGCCAGGGCTATACAGAGAAACTCTGTTCCAGGAAAAAAAAAAAAAAAAAAAGAAGCCATTCAGACATTCAGACATGTTACCACAGAGTGATACAGATGTGAGGATGTTACTACTTAGCACAGCAAATGTATGCTAGTGGTCTGGTACTTCAGGAGTTGACAGTGATGGAGACACTAGATGGTGTTCTCAAGAGTAACTGTAGCAACATGGAAAAATACCCACACGGTCAATTTAAAAAGCAATACAAAAGCTAGGTGTAATACACACACCCCTATGATCTCAGTAAAGAAGATCATGAGTTCAAAGCCTGCCTGAGCTACGTAAGTTTGAGGCCAGCCTAACCTATATATGGAGGCTGCCTAAAAGAGAATATAAAAATATATGCATGTACAAGCTAGGCATTATGGCACACACCTGTAATCTCAGCCCTCACGAGGCAGAGGCAGGTGGATCTCTGTGGGTTTGAGGTCAGCCTGGTCTACATAGTGAGTTCCAGGACAGCCAGGGACACACAGAGAGACCCTGTCTCAAAACAAAACAAAACAATACATATGTATGTACAATCACATGACTTGGTATACCCTGTCCTCCATACACCTCCCACAGGACAAAGACTTGAAGGAAACGCACCTTGTGTCCAATTCGCTCTGCAAGTAAGCCCGTAGTTTTCAAATTCTCTACCTTTTTACTTTTATAATGAGAGGGTGGTGCTCACTCTGAGAAAACTGCAGCCAGCCAGACCTGGCAGTACTCTCCAGTTTCTAAGGTCTGAGGAAACTAAGAAACGGCAGGGCCAGCGCTAAGGACACTTCTTCCAAGGACTTCTTCCCTCGGGAGCTGCACCTCAGCCCTGTGCACATGGAGTGTGCAGAGCAGAGCAGAGAGCTGCCTACAAATGTGGCTGGGAAGCACTCTGGGAAGCCCACGTCCCCCGCCCTTCATCGGTACTGTTCTGTGGTTGCTTACCAACTCCAGCAAGTTTAGGCTAAGGCAGGAAAGGCAAACTGGAGAGACAGGTCGGGTCTGGCAGAGTGAAGCCGTTTTACCTCCTGAGGGCTCAGGCGAGGTTTTCTATGACCACCTCCAGGTCTTGCCCATTACCCATGGCACACACTCGGCCTTGGCTCGAGCCAAGCTGGACTTCTTTTCATGTACTATCTACCACACAAACCCAAGATTCAGGAGGTTCACACTGTCTCTGATTCCAACACGAAGCTCATAAGGACATATTTCTTGTTCTCTCAAACTGTTCAAACTGTTTCTGGGTAAGTTCTCCTTTGCAAATATTAGTCTGTTTCCCTTTCTTTCATCCATAACTTGACATGAGGAGGGAGAGCCTAGGGTTCTGTGGTTCCTCCTTCTCTACAGTGAAGGCCTGGCTTGAGACACTCTCAGTGACTCTATTCCTCTGAGACACTCACCTATGGCCAACTTACATGTCAGCTTCATGTCAGAGGTCTCGGGGAATGAGGCCAAAGACTGAAAGCCCTCCTTTCTAAGGCAGGGCCAAAGCCCTAGGCAGAGGTGCTATTGTGTGGCACAAAGGCTGTCAATATCTCCTCCATGAACTCATAGCTGCTATCAGTCCTACCATAAATGGAGGTCTCCCCAGATCCCACCAGCCCAGAATTTAGGAGTCCTTAGGGCCCTTGAGAGATATCTTCCTAATACCTTCTTGATAACTCCCTTTCCTCTGATCTGCACCCCAGTGGGCAAAGGACTGTGGCGCCGCCTTCCAACTCCTGAGGGAAGGAAAGAGCAGGGGTCCCTTGGAGCTGCCCCCACCTCCTCCAGGTTCTCCTCAGACCTCACAAGGCCAGGTCTGGCAAGGCTAAAGGAAGGGCTACCTCCTGAGGCTGCCCTAAAATAACGAGCAGGGCTGGGGACATTGCTCAGCTGGTACAGTGCTAGCCTAGCAAGTATGAGGCCCTGGGTTTGATCCCAGATCTCCATAAATCAGATGTGGTGTAGTACATGCCCAGATTCCTAGCACTTGGGATGGAAAGCCAGGAAGATAAGGAGTTCAAGGTCATACTCAGCTACATAGTGCATTTGAGACCAGCCTGGGCTATATGAGACTGTCTCAAAAAGATAGAATAATAAAAAAAATAAAGGCTGGAGAGATCGCCCAGAGGTTAAGAGCACTCACTGGCTGCTCTTCCAGGGGTCCTGAGTTCAATTCCCAGCACCCACATGGCGGCTCATGATCTGATGCCCTCTTCTGGTGTGCAGACACACATGCAAGGCACCTGTATAAATAAGTAAATCTTTAAAATAAAATAAGATGACAGAAGCAAAGGGTAATCCCACCACAACAATAAAACAGGCATCAGCAATAACACCCAGAGCCCTTCACGAGAGAGCGAGAGCGAGAGAGAGAGAGAGAGAGAGAGAGAGAGAGAGAGAGAGAGAGAGAGAGAATGGCCAGGGGAATGTGAGCCTGACACAGAAGCCAGAATTCACAAGGTGGAGACTACGAGGCATTAAGTAAGTCTGAAAACTGAGGCACGGTTCAAGGACTCATTAGAGATGATGGGATGAAAATCAAAGACATGGACCAGGCCCTCAGAGCTACCTTCCAGAAACATTTCCAAAGTTTCTACTGTTCCGAGGATAAAATCTGCACCTACAAGGCTGACTTACAAAGGCTGGCGGCGAGCCGGGCGGTGGTGGCGCACGCCTTTAATCCCAGCACTCGGGAGGCAGAGCCAGGCGGATCTCTGTGAGTTCGAGGCCAGCCTGGTCTCCAAAGCGAGTTCCAGGAAAGGCGCAAAGCTACACAGAGAAACCCTGTCTCGAAAAACCCAAAAAAAAAAAAAAAAAAAAAAAAAAAAACAAAGGCTGGCGGCGATGTGGCCCACCTGACACCCCTCTCTCCTCCAAGCCCACTGTAGCAACGCCTCAGGGACTTTGAACTTGCCATCCTCTCTGCCTGGATTTCTCTTCCTTCAGATTTAAATGGCGGTTTCATGAATGTGTCCGTACATTTCATATAGACTAGGAAGGTTTAAGATTCTTCCCAAGCTGGAGAGATGGCTCAGCGGTTAAGAGCACCGACTACTTCTTCCTAGAGGTTCTGAGTTCAATTCCCAGCAACCACATGGTGGCTCACAACCACCTGTAATGAGATCTGGTGCCATCCTCTGGCCTTCAGGGACATATATAGGCAGAACACTGTAAACATACTAAATAAATAAATTTTAAAAAAGAAAAAGAAATTCTTCTCAAACTACACAGTCAGTTCTTAAGGGAGAAAGATAGAGGCACTTTTAGTTTTGAGAGCTACGCCATCAGAGCACAAAGAACACTAGAAAGGCTGCCCAAGGAGCCAAGAGCTGTTTTTGAGACCTTGGGGCCCTAGAAGAGAGAACTTGGAATTTAGGATAGACTATGCCAAGTTTTAAGGGCTAATGCTAAATGAAACAGTCCTGTTACCCACGTTTTCATGCCTAGAAAAATACTGGTGGAAAAGGGGATTCAGTCATCCTGCACACAACTTGATGGGCAGCCCAGCCTGGCTTTGGACACACAGGTTTGACTGATCATCTGAAGCCCCGGCTAATTATCCTACTAAACAAGGCTCAAGAGGATGGGAAGGGCTAGCACGCAGCAGGCATACCTGTTATAGGAGCATGGGGCTCAGAGGAACCTGGGAGTAAGGAGAATTAGTAAAGCAGGTGTGCGAAGTCCCTGAGAACCAGAGGTGGCCCATATGCTCATGTTTCCTCACTATAAATGACAGGCACTGAGGACAACTGTGTGGAAGGACCCCGAGGTTCATGGAATAGAAGCTGGAGGGAGCACCATAAGGAGACTGCCAACAGTCTAGAGAATGACTCTGTACCCCAGCCTTGAGGCAGCTGGGGCTCCTAAGTTTTTCTACAGTGGATAGTTTCTGAGATTGTCATTTCCCCAAGGTTGCACACTATACCTGTTTAAGCTCTTGACAAGGCCCTCCTGTTACATGGGGCTTCAGAGACGGCATGGCCAATGGCCAGGTGAGGTGGGAGGAGGGAGCAGGAACAGAGCCTACTGGGTTATCGAAGTCAACCCAACACTGGACGTCATGGCAGATCGTGCGTCTGCCATAGTCCACAGCTCTCAGTGCACCCTAAACTGGAGCAGGCAGGTAAGTCTGGCTCCACAGAGGGATGCTGAGGAAAAGAACCATAGCTGACGAGATGGCTCAGAGGGTAAGGTGCTTGCTGCACAAGTCTAGCAAGTTAGGTTAGATCCCTTCAACCTGCCGGGCGGTGGTGGCGCAAGCCTTTAATCCCAGCACTCGGGAGGCTGAGCCAGGCAGATCTCTGTGAGTTAGAGGCCAGCCTGGTCTACAGAGCAAGATCCAGGACAGGTCCAAAACTACACAGAGAAACCCTGTCTCAAAAAACCAAAAACCAAAAACCAAACAAAAAAAGAAAAGAAAAGAAAAAGAAAAAAAAAGATCCCTTCAACCCATGGAAAGGTGAAAGGAGAGAAATGATGCCACAAAGTTGTGCTCTGACTTCCACATGCACACTGTGATAAGCTCAGCCACACACACACAGACAGTGCAAAGTGGTCAAAGAAGACATCCAGTGTAGACCCGTGGCCTCCACATGCACACAAACACACTCATTCATTCATTCTCTCTCTCTCTCTCTCTCTCTCTCTCTCTCTCTCTCTCTCTCTCTCTCTCTCTCTCTCTCCCCCCCTCACTCTCGCTCTCTCCCTCTCTCTCAGTGCTATCTGGCTGAGGAGGCTGGCCAGTTTTCCTTCAGTGAGGAAAGAGCTGGAGCAAAGGCGGCAGAAGAAGCAGGAAGAGAAGAAGTGTTCTCTTACGGTTGGCTGTGACACACAGGATCCTACAAAACCACTTCCGTCTAAAGCAGCTCCATGAACGTCCCAAGACACAGTAGCAAGGATCTGAGATGTGGGAAGTCTGGGGCGCAGTGCCCAGGAACCAAGTGGAGTGCTGGAAGGCACTGAATGCGTGAATTCACAGGCAGGACGGGGAGGTGCAGGGCGCATATTGATTTGCCAAAAGATATTGGAAAGTGGTTTAAATAAAACTCTGGGTCATTGACAGGAGTTTTTAATTTGGTTCTCCTGCTGGGGTCCTCTAGCAGGCAGAAGACAGCCTTGAAGATGTTCTTAGTCAGCCTGTTTCTGTGAAAAACACTCAAGAAGCTTAACTTGTTCCTGGCAGGGACACCAATCCCTGGGTCTTTTGGCTCCCTCTGCTGGCCACCTTAAAGCACACATTCCTGAACCAGAGGGGGTTATTTTACTTATTTATTTTGATTTTTTGAGGCAGGGTTTCTCTGTGTAACAGTCCTGGCTGTCCTGGAACTCACTTTGTAGATCAGGCTGCCCTTGAACTCACAAAGATACGCCTGCCTCTGCCTCCCGAGTGATGGGAATAAAGGTGTACATCACCACTGCCCAGCTGAGAGGGGGTTATTTGAGAATGAGTGCTTTCAAGCTTGTTTCAGAAATGGGGGCACGCAGATGCACGTGGTGAGAAACTCTAGGACACACCAAGATAAGTCAAGGCTCCTGCCCCATCCTCAGACACTTCAAAGGCTTTCTCTGGCCTTTCTTTGTCAGATCCCAAATTTTCTCAAAGCTGCTGGGTAGCTTTCTGGCCAGAAGGTCCACAAACACCATCTATCCCACCAAAGCCAGGCATGAAGGTTCTCTCGGCTTATGATCCTGTATCACCCCAGAAGGCTAACAAACCTCTCAAAAACCAGGCGGCTGACGGTCTCACTGGCCACTGGAGGCAGATTCAAGGTTCCCTGCAGCATCGTTAGCTTCTTTCTTAGGCTCTGGAGGAAATAAAGAGAAGAACATGAGAGAAAGGCTGAGGTACTGAGGACAACACCTGTGTGAAGGGTACTGGGAACAGAGCAAGGACTGATGCCCAACACCAGCCTTCAGAACTCAAAGGAGTCTCTTTTTTAAAGCCCTTGCTCAGGCGATTGGGAATCTTGGAGGTAAGGACTCAGCAGATCATAAAGGAAGATCCATGGTGCTGTTGGCCCTCTGCTGAGGAGGCACAGGCTGTAGGTCAGATGAGGGTCAGCACACAGACCCTGACCCACCTCCCTGACACAGGAAGATAAAGAGCCCAGAGCTACCGCCCTTGACTGGGACTCAGGTTCCCAGGCAGAACCAGCCTGGCCCCACTCCTGGAGGCACAGAAACAACCCCTGATCTCCCCTTCTCACCGGGTCAGGATTCTCACCGTGATTTCCTTATCAGCACTCTCTAAGTCCTTCTGGGCTGACCTCAGTTCCAACTTGGTCTGATCCAGCTCAGTGTAGACAGTCTTCAACTATAAGAAAGGACAAGCCAGTGGTGCCACATGTCCTGCCCCCTACCTGCTGCCACCCAGTGGATGGTCGGGGTAGAGTCTAAAGGAAACTGGACCTTTGGGGATAGGCTCAACTAGGCGTACATACGTAGGGCTGCCCGGGAGCATGGCTCCTCTCTCTATACATTGCAGCCTACAGAAGTTAAAAGCAGCTGGCCCAAGAACCCTCATATTTGGGATGGGGTACAAAACAGGCCTCTGAAGCTGTCACACTTGAGGACGGTGTTCTTCAAGACGAGCAAAGGGTAGCATAAGTGTGTGGTGGGGGCATACCTCTATTAACTGTCCCCCCCCCCCCAATGCACAAGCCACTGAGTCAGAGACAACGAACAGTAAAAAGCAGTAATAATTAGTGTCTGCAGCCCCTACACTAGTCCACTGTGCCAGCCTGGGGGGCCTAGCTCAGGAGACCCCGGCGAGCATGACAAAGGAAAAGCCATGCCTCCCCCTTCCTTTTGCCCCCATTCCGGTACCTTGCTCCTAGAGGAGGCCAAGTCCTTCCTCAACTTGTCAGCCAGCTCCCCTGAGGCCTTCCGTGCTTCTTTCAGATTCTCATACTCTCTGCAAAGTGGTCGTGAAAAGAGATGACGGGACAAGACACCCTGATGTCACAGCACCAACCTAACAAAGGCCTCCCTCCAATCCTTAGCTCCTCCTCCTTCTCCCTCCAGGTGGCCCCATGGCAGGTCCTGCACAGAATGTAATGAGGTCAGGAAACAAAACTGTTCTCTCTTGTCACTTGCAGGAACGGTGACTCGAGAAAGTATGCAAGAAGCTCCAGCCTCACTAGGGGGCTCCCTACACCCCCAAATGGAGGCATTTTGGATTCTCTGTGCCTGTCAGTCAAATGGCTCCTTCCCAACATTACATTACCATAATGAAGAATATGGGCAGTTTCTTATCCAAGCCAGACAAGGTCAGTAACCCTGCTGATGGAACAGCCTCCAGATGCCATGAGGGGGCTCACAGCTGAGAGCTGCATGAGCTTCTTAGAAACAACACTTAGAATCCATACTCTGTTCTCTCAGCAATTCTAAGGCAAGTCTCTCTCTATCTTCATGCAAGAAGGTGGAAGCTAGAGAGGCCTCCGAAGTGGCCCAAGAGCTGGAGTTCACCCTATGACAACATGGTTCTAGAACGTGCTCCTTCACACCACCTGCTTTACAGAAGACAGCAGCAGAGGTATGACTGGGGAACCCTATCTGGTTCCTGGGCTTACATACTTCTTGAGGGACACGCAGTACACCGCCAGCTGCTCCACCGCTGACTGTCCCACACCCATGTCGCGGATCATCTCCTCCACCTCAGACCGCTGGCTCTGGAGTAGGAGCTCAATTCTGAAAAACATTCCCGGCCCACGGCATTTGAAATCTGGAGGCTGATGGTTAGTCTGCCTCCCTTTGCCGCCGTTGCTATGGCAACAGCCTGGGCTGCTAGGATGCTTTAGCAGGTGGGTGTGCCCAAGGAAAGGTTCCACAGCAGAGCTGAGCTCAGCTCCACGGATGCTGCTGAGGAAAAAGAGGTGCTAACAGAGGATGTCAAGGTCAGGGGCTTCTGTAGAGAGGCTCCTGGAGGAAAGGCACAGCAGGCCATCTATCCACAGGCAACAGGACAAGGAGTACAACAGGAGTACCCATAAAAAGGGAAGGAGCCCACAGAGGATAAGAAAGGAAATCTGTGCCATTGGCACCTGGACATCTGGGTCAAAGGTGGACAAACCCCATTTTCAGCTGCAGTCCTGAGAATTACACCCCTATCCCCAGGGGCCCCCAGTGTGAAAGCACAATACAGAAACCAGCGACGAACTCACTGCTCCATGGTTTTCATCTTGCTCTTGAGTCGGCGGGCCTCCTCCCGAGCTTGCTTGGTCTCATCCTGCTGCTGTTCCAGGAATTTCATCTGCTTCTGAAGAGCAAGCACACCATACATCTTCTTGGTGCTTCTCAGAACCATGGCCACTGAGAGCTGTCCGTGCCACATCTTTTGTTTGCTTCTTTTTTGTTTTTTAAATATAATTTATTTAAAACTATTTTATGTGCATTGGTGTGAAGGTGTCAGATCCCCTGGAACTGGAGTTACAGACAATTATGAGCTGCCATGTGGGTGCTGGGAATTGAACCCAGGTCCTCTGGAAGAGTGGCCAGTGCTCTGAACTGCTGAGCCATCTCCCCAGCCCCTGGTTTTGGTTTTTGACAGGGACTCACACACCCCAGGTTGTCTATGAACTCACTATGTAGCCAAGGATGACCATGAACCCCTGATCTTTCTGCCTCCACCTCCTGCTAGGAATATGGGAGTATATCTCCATACTTGGCTTTTAAAGATACTGATAAACATATATCTCCAAATTGTAGGATATAAACTCCCTTTGAGCCCCTCATGCTGACCTGTTCTGTGTTCTGTGTGTGTGTGTGTGTGTGTGTCTGTGTGTGTGTGTGTGTGTGTGTGTGTGTGTGTGTGTGTGTGTGTGTCTATGTGAAGAGCTGGGAATCCAACCCAGGCTTTGAACTATAGCCCTCACTTGGCCTATGCTTTTGTTACTAAGAGACTTCAGGGCAGCTGTATCCTCACCTCCGGAGATATGACTTGCTATAGGTACAGCTCAGTGGCTCAGGCCTGCTGTGGGCTGCCAAGATTCTATGGTCTGGGTCTCATGGTACATGCTTGCTATAATATAGTTGAAGAAGCCAAGAGCACAAACCCATATCTCATCTAGACACATGGACAAGAAGCCCCAGGATAGGAGAGCCGAGCCAGGAGCTGTCCTCAGCGTGGGACACTCCATCTCTGACCTGGGAATGCCACCAGAGATTGTTCTGCAACCTGGTGCTAGTCCTCAGCGTGGGACACTCCATCTCTGACCTGGGAATGCCACCAGAGATTGTTCTGCAACCTGGTGCTAGTTTACTCCCTCCCTCTGGGTAGGCCATGTGATACAGCTCAGCCTCCAAGCAGGAACAGAAAATGAATATCCTAGGGCCTTGTCTGTTCATAAGGATGGCTTCTATCCCTTTCATACAGCACCCAGCAAGGGCTGCTCCTGCCTACAAGACTAGAATATCAATCGTGAGTTCAGATCAATCGCCTCATGGCCCTCGGAGAGCAGGAGGCTCACGAACCTAGGCTGATACAAAATTCATCTGGGTCTAGGCCTGCTTGCTCTACAGCTTTGATCTGCTCGGTCAGCTCAGCACAGCGGACTTCAAAGGCCTGTGCTCCTCCCTAGGATGCTGTTTGATCTGGCTCCAGAGAGCAGCCCCGCCAAGGACTGGAGTCCTAATGGAAGATTCTTCAGACTGGCCTCATCAGTGGAGTAGGAGCCACTTTTAGAAACGTGGCCCAGCCTACTCAGGTCTCCGTTGAGCAGGCCCTCTGTGAAGTGTTGGGAAGGCCTTGTTATCTGGTACAAAATCTACAAGCACAGCCATTATAGCCCCTTTTCTTATGGGCTTGATGGGTAGAGTACGGAAGGGTCTTGGGAAGAAGAGCTTTGCCCTCACCTTACGACTGTATAAACAAAGGCAATGGCTGAGGCAGAACTAGGAGATATGATTAGAATTGTGAGCCTAGGCTGGGTGTGGTGGTGCACGCCTCTAATCTCTGCACTTGGGGAGGTAGAGGCAGGTGATCACTGTGTGGTCCAAGCACAGGGCTGTGGCTGTACCTCCCCACTGACTCTGAGGACTTACTTTCAGAGTGGAACACAGCATCTGTGTCTTGTCTAGGGCGTTCTGCAGGGACTCCACAGTGGCATTGCGTTCTTCCAAGGTGTCCCGTAGAGTGTCGATAATGGACTGGCTGTCCCGTTTCTCCCTCTCTGGAGCGGGGAAGAGGGGGGCAAGGCAAAGGCCCATCCATGCATGTCAACCTCGACCCCTGAATTCAAGCACCTCGCCCCTTAGCCAGGTAAGAACAAAGTGCAAGCCAGAAAGTTGGGTGGCCTGCTTCTTTCTCTGCCAGGCACCAAGAAAACTAAGCTAGGGCTTTTGCCTAGGAGACAAGCTCTCCTTTTCTTTTCCTTTTTTTTTTTTTTTTTTTTGGTTTTTTTTCAAGACAGGGTTTCTCTGTGTAGCTTTTTTTTTTTTTTGCGTCCATCCTGGAACTCAGTCTCAAACTCATAGAGATCTGCCTGGCTCTGCCTCCTGAGTGCTGGGATTAAAGGCGTGCGCCACTACCACCTGGCCGACAAGCTCTCCTTTCTCCTGCTTGAACTATTTGGGTAGATCTCACTCTTCCCTACTCATGTAGGTCTAGTTAATTCATCGTTACAGAACTCAAGCAAATCCCTGTCAAACTCAGCAGCTGAGCCCTGAAGATACAAACTCATCAGGTGGGACCCCTCCCAAAACTGCTCTTGGGCAAGAAGTTCCAAACAGTAAAAAGAGGCTGTCTTGGCCTAGGCAGACAGCTTGAGTTCCCCTCTGCTTTTTGGCTAGTTATAAGAGCTAGCAAGACAAAGGAGGACGAACCCCTGGCTTTGTCAGAGGCTGGAGGCTTTCCCCTTAGACCCCTTCCCTCCAATACCCAAGTCAGGGGCTTCTCAGGGCCTCTTGTCACTTGTTAACTTACCTTTCTGGGAAAGATGGGCTCTCATACTGTCCAGCTCATTCTGCAAGACAATACATACAATAAGCAACAGGAGCACATTAGAGCTAGCCTCCACATGACGCCCCCTAAGGCTGCGCAGAGTCCCAAGATCAATGAAGACTACTGGTCCAGGAACGGACCCAATATACTTCAAGGCCAAGCCAACAGAGATGCACATTGTTTTATGTCTGTGGGTCTTTTTGTTCTTTTTTTTGAGACAAAATATCACCATAGTGTCTCACTAAAGTAGCTCACATTGTCCTGGAACTATGTATACCAGGCTGGCCTTGAACTCACAGAAATCCACCTGCCTCTGCCTCCCGAGTGCTAGGATTAAAGGCATGTGCCATCATGCCCAGTATGGGGCATTTTTTAAAAGGATTTATTTACTTTTGGGGCTGAAGAGATGGCTCAGCAGTTAAGAGCACTGGCTGCTCTTCCAGAGGTCCTGAGTTCAATTCCCTGCAACCACATGGTGGCTCACAACCATCTGTAATGGATCTGGTGCCCTCTTCTGGCCTGCATGTGTACCTGCAGACATAGCATTCATATACATAAAATATATACACTTTAGAAACAGGTTATTTTTCTTTTATGTGGATCGGGGTTTGCATTTATGTCAGGGCACCACGTTTTCACATTGCTGCTGAGACCAGAAGGCGGTGTCAGATTCCCTGAAACGGGAGTTACAGTTGATCCTCAGCCGCCATGTGGATGCTGGGAATCAACCCTGTCATTTGCAAGAGCAGCCAGTGCCCATAAACCCTGAACCATCCCTCCAGCCCCTTTCTGAGCCTTTTAGGTAAGATGTAGGAAATGAGTGCCACAGGAAGTGAAGCTTGGCCTGCTGGTCGGTCGGTCAACAGCAGAAGCTTCCGGGGCTCCGGGTCCTGCAGTGGCCTCACCCTCTCAGAACATGAGCTGCGCTCCCCGGGGACACAGAACAGAGATGCCCTGAACCAGCACTAGTTCTCTCCGTCTTAGGCTTTGCCTGCTCCAGTCCACCGAGCTCCGAGCTCCAGGCTGGCTCTGAGAGGCTGGAGTAGAAGTGGATCCAGCTCCCACTGGGGAGTCTAGAGAACTCACTGTCCTTGGGAGCAAGAGCTGCCTATAGCCACAGTCGGAGGACAAAGGTCTTCACAGCACACTTTCAGCCTTAGGCAAGTGTCTACTCGGGAAGAATCCAAGCACACTTTCCTCCAGATCACTCTTTAAAGGTTAACAGAAGGCTCAGAATTTCACTCGACCAATAGTAAGCCCCTGACTACCAGCCTCTCTGCCCAGGACTCTGGGAGGTAGGAGCTCCCGGCAACTGGGCTGGGCAGTGTAGACCAAATAACTGGGCATGGAAATGATAGATGGTAAGGACACGCGGGGGTCTGCCTGAGAACAGACACCGGCTGCTGCACAACTCCCCAGGCTCTGGTCCTTCCACACCTCAGCAGGATGCCTTCGAAGTCCTTGCTCCAAACTATTCAAGATGCTGCCTCCCTGTCTCACAGACTTGGCTTTGAAAGCTGAAAAGACTCGAAGCTGCCTTTGTTGTCTTCATCACAGGGAGGACACCTCTTAAAACTAGGAGCAGTTACCATGACGATGAACAGGCTGGCTCCAAACACAAAAGCTCAACCATTTTGAAGCAAGGAGGTTTCAAGGACATCACAACACCCAGGGGATAAGGTCAAATGAGTTGTAATCTGACAGATTCCCAGCAAATTAACCCTTAGCGTTCAGCAATCACTTGTAAACCCCAACCCAATTTTCCTCAAGACATTCTGCCAATCTAGCTCCCTCACACACAACAGAAGGAAATTTTAGATTTGGAGGGGAAATGGAAGAAGCATAGAAGGCAAACCTGGTTACCCTCCCCTGTAGTCTGGCTTTCCACCTGGGCTAGAAATCTTGACTCCAGGGGCTTTGTCCTCTATAGCTGGGCTTGGAAAGGCCCAGGCATCTGCCTTCACACCATGTTCTCCAGGCAATTTTGAGGCACAGCTAGGTTAAGGAATGGTGGAGTCACACATCTTCCCTGACTAGTAAGAATGGAAGAATTTCCTAATGTGTCACTAACTGTCCAGCAAGAAAGTGTGCTGAGCAGTACGGCTCTAAGTCCTTTATAAGGGGAGGAGGCATGCTGGCCTTCGGTCCACACTGCCCTGAAAGCCCAAGGAGAGATCTCATAGTCACTCGGCACCACTCCTCTTACAGTGTATGCCTCTGAGGACCGTCTCAAAGCCACTGCCCTCACCTTGATAGCTCTACCAAGCCTTTGCCCCACAGGCCTAGCTCCATCTACACTTTAGGCATCTTCTCTAAGTGGAAGTGAAAAGTGAACTCCTAGAAGGTTTGGAATTCAATAGAATGAGATAAATTCTGGGTACCTTTAAGAATTCTGCATCCAAGACACTCTCCTCTTCCTGGGCAAGATCAAAGAAAAGCTTATTGATAATACTCTTTTTGCCAACCTGGGTGGAAGAACAAGACAGAGAATAACAGTGGAGTGAGGTCAGAGGCGATGAGCAGAGACTGAACGTGGGTTTGACTGCCAGCCGTGTGCCAGGTCTGCTCTCAGGCCTGACTTCCCAGCACATATCCTTTTGAGTCAGAAGACTTCATTTCTACACATACCAGAGTCAGGACTGCTGGTCTGCTGGTGGCTGAAGTTATGTCACTGCGGTCAACACGTACGAGTGCTTAAAAGATTCTTCAACGCTATGCACAGGGACATTTGTTAAATATTAAAGAGGCCAAATATACACACGTGAAGACTGATGGGAAGTCCTTCTTCCAGCCACCCATGGGGTATAAGCAAGCCTCTAGAGGGACTCACAGGCACCTGTGATCAACTGGCTCAAACCAAGAGAGTCAAAAAGGCCAGAGTATTTCTATCTCAGAGATGTTTACCCCATCCCTGTTTTCTGGAAAGAAGAAGTCTTTAACTGAGACACCCACACTCCATCATCCTTACCTGGATTCTACACTGTGGGCAGGTCCGACTTGGTGCTGTCTCAAACCACTGGATTAGGCTACAATGAAAACAATAAAAGACAAGTAATCCTGGCATGGCTGCAGATACTGGTCACACGGCCACTGCTATTAGCTCTTCTTCGACCCATCACATGCCTGCCTGCAATGGCAGGTTGTCACCACAGGTAGGACTTGCCTTAAGCACCGCACAGTGCTCAGCAACGGGCTGTGGTTGGGGTTGGAAGGCTTGGCCAAAGGCTGTTCTTTGCAAGCTGGGCTGTAGAGTGTAGGTGACAGACAAAGCTCAGTCTCTCAGGAGACGAACTTCCGATAATACCCTACTTTAAGTTAAGACTCTAAGGGCTACACTCTTAAGTAGTGGTAAAAGTAAAACACAGCTCAGATTTACATAATTTATCGGCATGGTCCAGCAAAACTTGCAACAGTCTCCTGTAGGTGTGGTGGTACCTACCTGTAATCCTAGCACTAGGCAGGAGAATCGTATAAAGAGAGAATGGGGCAGACTTCTTCACCCCAGGAATGAGAGAAAAAACTCCTCTTTGAAAAGTGATACCATTTCCTATGTCCAAATCTTTCCTATAAATACATTTTTAAAAAAAAACTACAGCTGGGCGGTGGTGGCGCACGCCTTTAACCCCAGCACTTGGGAGGCAGAGGCAGGCGGATTTCTGTGAGTTCGAGGCCAGCCTGGTCTCCAAAGCGAGTTATCAATGAATCATTAAAATATAATGAAGAGAAGTTAGACACATGCACAAAAGCATATTCTGTATGATCTCATCTGTATAAAAGGAAAAACAGGCAAAGTGGTACCTTTATGTGTGTGTGGGTGCTGGCAGGGATAATCAGAAGAGCACGTGAGATTTCTAATGCAGATAATATCCTCTTTCTTCTGCAGAGCTGGAGCGTTAACCTGGGTCTATGTAGGACAAGTGCTGTACCACTGAGCTACCCTCCCAGTTCTATCCACGCTTCTAGATCTGAGCTCTGGCTGCACAGGTGGGCTGGATTTGTGATGACTCTACAAGCTATGTGCTTTTAGCATGTGTACTTTTCTCTAGTTACTTCTACAGTACTTCAATAAAACAAAGCAATCTAGACATGCTCTTGCCTGTAACCCCAGCATTTGGGGGACTGAGACTAGAGGATTGCCATGAATGTAAGGCCAGTCTGGAGTACATGGTGAGTTTCAGGCTATCTCAAAAGTCAAATAGCCAATCTCAAAAAAAATAAGTGGCCAGGCGTGGGGATGAATGCCTTCAATCCTAGTACCTGGGAGGTAGAGGCAGGCAGATTTTTGAGTTTGAAGACAGCCTGGTCTACATATTGAGCTCTGAGCCAACTAAGGCTACACAGTGAGACCCTACCTCAAACAAACAAACAAAAACAAAACAAAAAAAGGAGCCAGGTATGGTGGCACACACTGTATCTTAGATGTTTGAGAGGCAAGGGCCTCCCAATGGTGAGTTTGAGGACAGACCGGGCTATATAGTGAGATCTTGTATTAAACCAAAACCAAAACCAAAACCAAACAAACAAACGAGCTTTGATGGCACAAAAACATAACCCCAGCATCTGGGAAGCAAAGGCAGGAAGATCAGAAGTTCAAGGTCATTTTCAGTTATATAGTAAGCTTAGGGTCAGCCTGGGCTACAAGAGACCTACCAACCAAAGTTAAAAAGCTAAGGGTAAGGATATAGTTCAGTGATAGGACATTTGTCTACTATGTGGGAAACCCTGGGTTTTTTAGGATGGCAAACAAGACAACAGAACTTAAAAGATGAAAATTGCCAGGCGGTGGTGGCACAGGCCTTTAATCCCAGCACTCGGGGGGCAGAGGCAGGCGGATCTCTGTGAGTTTGAGGCCAGCCTGGCCTACAGAGCGAGATCCAGGACAGGCACCAAAACCATAGGGAGAAATCCTGTCTCAAAAAACCAAGAAAAAAAAAAGGTAAGAAATTAGAAAGATGATAAAAAGACATAGAAGGTACTCTGAGAAAATCTGGCTCCAAAAACACAATGGTAGGCAGAATAATGCTGCCCGCCTCCAAAAATGTCTATCCTGATCCCTAACCTATAACATGCAATTTTAGAAAGCAATAAGAATTTTGCAGATGTAACTAAACTAAGAATCTTGAAATGAGGAGGATTTCTGCTTTTTGTCCCAGTTGTTAAGGGTTGAACCCAACAGCTCCCATATTGTGTTTGAGTTCTACTGAGCTGCACCTCCCAGTCCTGAGATAAGGAGCATCAAAGAAAGCATCCCGAAACATGCTCTAACCAGCATGAATGAACCTTTAAGACACTATGTTAACCGAAATAAACCTGTCACAAAAGACAAACTGTACTTTAGAGAAATCAAGTTCACTAAGACAGGACAATGACAGTTACCTGGGCCTTGGAGCAAGAGACAACTGGGAGTCACCACTGAAGCAGTACAGCATTTCAACGTGGGAAAATAACATTTTAAACCAGTGGTGACAGGTACACAAAATGTGAATACTTAACGTCACTGCATTATATAACCTTCCACTGATCCACTTCACCAGCCCTAAAATCATTAAGATGGTAATTTTTATAATGGACATATTTTGCCACAACTGAAAAACAAAAACAAAATAAATAAGCCAAAAATCAATGTGATGCATGCAGTACTTATCAGGACATCTATCATGAAAAAGGAAGGATTAGGAGTGTGGCTGTCAGCATTTGCCCGAGGCATGTGCAAGGCCCTGGGTTTGAATCCTAGTAACACACACACACACACACACACACACACACACACACACACACACACTTTAGACAATTTCTCACTATGTAGCACAGGCTGGCTACATTGTGTGCGCGTGCGTGTGCATGTGCGTGTGTGTGATTTAGCTCAGGGGTGAAGCATGGGGTTAGTATATACCAGTCTATGTTTTCAAGGTCTAGCACTAAAAATAATAAAATCAGCTGTTTAAAATCAGCTTGTGCAAACACAGAGAGATGTGAGAGAGAAATAGAGACAGAGACAGAGACACAGAGAGAGACAGAGACAGAGAGGAAAGAAGCAGGCAGCTGTTGTGGAAAACAGTATGCCAGGTCCCAAAAAACCTAAATATAGACTCTCCATATGGCCCAGTCTTTCGGCTCCCAGGTATATATTCTAGAGAACTGAAAACAGAGGCCCAGACAGGTACGTGTACAGCAGTTCATAGTAACATTATTCACAGCAGTCAAAACCTGGAAATACCTGTCTATCAACAAATGAATGGATAAACAAAATACAGTATTTTCATACATACAATTAAATATTGGCCACAACAAAAATAAAATTCTGATACATGCTATGAGATGGGTGTTAAAATTATTACGCTAAGTGAAATACATCAGACTCAAAAGGACAAAGAATAAAGACCACCTACATGAGATGCCTAGAGTAGGGAACTCAAGGGCAAAAGGTACAGCAGAGGGGCTCAGGGACCAGGAGGAGAGGGCACAGAGTTATCATTTGATAGGCAATGTGCTTCTGTCCAGATGACAGAAAGTTCAGATAACAGCGCTAAAGGTTATACAACCACCAAATCAGCACCTAAAAATGGTTAAAATAGTGCCAGGTATGGTGGTACACAATTTTAATTTCTGTACTCAGGTGGATCTGTGTTCAAGGTCAGCCTGGTCCACTTAGTGAGACCTTGCTTCAAAAAAAAAAAAAGCTAAAAAAATTTTTCTTAAAAAGTTAAAATAGGGCCAGGTGGTGGTGGCACAAGACTTTAATCCCAGCACTCGGGAGGCAGAGCCAAGCGGATCTCTGTGAGTTCGAGGCCAGCCTAGTCTACAAAGTGAGTTCCAGGACAGGCACCAAAACCACACAGAGAAACTCTGTCTCGAAAAACCATAAAAATAGTAAAAATAGCCAGGTGTGGTGGCGCACACCTTTAGTCCTAGCGCTAGGGAGGCAGAGGCAGGTGGATCTCTGTGAGTTCGAGGCCAGCCTGGTCTACAAAGTTCCAGGACAGCCAGGGCTGTTACACAGAGAATACCTATCTGGAAAAACCAAAAAATAAAAAAGTTAATTTTATGTAATATATACTACAATAGTGATAATAACAATAATTGAACCAGGCATGGGGATATACAACTGTAACCTACCATGAGAGTCTAAGCTTGAAGCCAGCCTGGCTACATAAAATGACAGTAGTATTTAAAAAAACAAGGGCTTGGAGCTGGAGAGGTGAAACACTGGCTGATCTTCCAGAGGTCCTAGGTGATTCCCAGCAACCACACAGCAGTTCACAACCATCTGTAACTCCAGTTCCAGGATAGCTGACACCCTCTTCTGAACTCTACAGATACCAGACAAGCTCATGGTGCACACCCACACACTTAAAATAGACTAATAATAAAAACCAACCAACCAAACAAACAAACAAAAAAACAAAGGTAAGGATGACTCTCAATGGTAGAATACCTATTAGTTCACAAGTGACTCCCAGCATCCCAACCACACTACACTCACGCTCGCACACACCAACACACACACATGCACGTGCGCACAAAAAAGAAAGGTCAGTGGGGGACTGGGGATGGAGCTCAGTGGTAGAGTACTTAGTTCAAATTATAGCTACAAAAAACAATTAAATCAGATGTGGAGGCAGGAGACAGGAGTTATTCTGAGTGGTAAAATAAATAATGATATAAAGTTCGTAACTGAAAGCCAAGATAAATACCCGTGAGTCCACACTGTAAACAACTGAATAAATAGAAGAAAGTACTTTTCATTCCTGGTTGATTGTGAACTGGACCCAGTAACTTGCTCTAGAATATTGTAAGAAAAATAATAACTTTATAGTGGAAAAACTTGGACAATACTAACTTAACCAAGGAATCTAAGTTAATATCCCCAAAGATTAGTCATACTGATGTAATTGTACACCCTCAATAAGATGCCAGGAGAAGGGCACTTCACCACTGTGGTAGTCTCCCCTAAACCCAAGTCTAATCATAAAAAAATGAAAAGGGGCCGGGCGGTGGTGGCACATGCCTTTAATCCCAGCACTCGGGAGGCAGAGCCAGGCGGATCTCTGTGAGTTTGAGGCCAGCCTGGGCTACCAAGTGAGTTCCAGGATAGGCTCCAAAGCTACACAGAGAAACCCTGTCTCGAAAAACCAAAAAAAAAAAAAAAAAAAGGGGGGGGGGGCTGGAGAGATGGTTCAGACATTAAGAGCACTGGCTGCTTTTCCAGAGGACCCGAGTTCAATTCCCAGCACCCACATGGCGGCGACAACTGTCTGTAACCTCAGGTTCAGGGGACCTGACACTCTCACAAGGACATATATGCAGGCAAAAACACCAATGCTCATAAAATAAAATTTAATTAATTAAGGAGAAAAGAAAACATTACAAACTCAAACAAAATAACTGGCCTGGACTCTTCAAAAGTGTCAAGACCATTAAAAACAAATAAAACAACAAGATCTGGCCGGGCAGTGGTGGTGCACGCCTTTATTTCCCAGCACTCGGGAGGCAGAGCCAGGTAAATCTCTGTGAGTTTGAGGCCAGCCTGGTCTACAGAGTGAGTTCCAGGACAGGCTCCAAAAGCTAAACCAAGAAACCCTGTCTCAAAAAAACCAAAAAGAACAACAACAACAACAAGATCTACAAGAAACACCAAAGCTGTCGCAGATGATAACAACTGACTGTATCCTAGTAACCGAGCCTGGATCCTAGAATAAACATACGGGCATTGATGAAAGAAAAAAACACTAGTAAAACTCAGACTCCATAGTGTCAGAGTATTGTACCAGTGCCAACTTCTTAGCTTGGAAAATTGTACAAACATTACGTAAAATGTTAATACTGGAGAACTCGTGCAAAGGGCATATAATAACTCTCTGTATCATCATTTAAAATTATCAGTAGATGAAAACTATTCCACACAAAAAGTTCATTAATTGGGAGGCAAAGGCAGGCAGTTTGAGTTTAAGGCCAGCCAGAGTGATATAGTGAGACCCTGTCTCAAAAAAAAGAAAATTTATTCAAAACACATAAGGCAGTGAATAGAGTGCTTGCCTAGCATGCACAAAGCCCTAAACTCAATCCCTAGTACCATATAAACCAAACATGGATGGTACACACTTGTCATTCCAACACTTGTGAGATGGAGACAGGATGATTAGGAATTCAGGGTCATCCTTGGCTACACAGTAAGTTCAAAGCCAGCCAAGGGTACATAAGACAATGTACATCAGTGAAAGCCATAAGTGGTGGTACTGAGTAGTGGTACTCACCTGCAATTCCAGCACTCAGGAGCCTGAGGCAGGAGGACTGCCATGAATCCCAGGCTAGCCTGGGCTAGATAGCAAGCACTAGCCAAGCCAATACTACAAAAAGTGCTGGGATTACAGGTGTATGCCACCACTGCCCTGTTTGTAACTGGGACATTTTAAATGCAAAGATTATTACACCAGATTTTTAAAGTCAAATGTACTTTCAAGAGACAGACCTAAATTGCAAATACACAGGAAAGTTCCAAGTTAAAGGTTAGAGGGAAGTAGGTGATGGAAAGCACTTTCAGTGGTAGGATTGGCTTCTAACAATGGCTCCCTGAGCATGGGGCTCGGACCATGCAATACTGGATTATGTGTTTTTGTTTTTGTCTTTTGACACAAGGTCTCGGAAAGTCCAGGCTCTAACTCAGTACAGCTGAGACTGCCCTTGAACTCCTGGTCTTTCTGCCTCCACATCCTCCCTCCTCCCCTACCTGTACTGGAATATGCAACACTTCTGACAGTAACACTGGTTTTAAACAAAGCTTTGGAAACAAGGGATATCCAGCAGTGTTCAGGGTGCTGTCACAACACTTCCTGCTTCTTGGGTCCTTTTGCCCCCATAAACCTCCCACTGTCCCAAAGGACCACCTTCTGCCTTATTTTCTCTTTTGTTGGGAACTTTGAACCAGCCTGTCCACAGCTGCAAAGGGACCCTTTCCCGACTCACAAGATAGTTGAGCGTCAGGACCCCTTGACAGGAAGGCACTTCCTTGCCTTTCCAAGTTAAGCCGAGTTTGCCTGAGTGGTGAATACATAGGGTGTCTGGCCAATGAGATGTTTCTGGATAGAAACAATCCAAACCATCAAGCAAACCACACAGACCCTTAAGGGTTGCCAGAAGCCTATTAGGTTGCTTGTTGAGTCTCAAAGAAATAAAAAAGCTCGTTAATGCGGTAAAAGCTCATCTCCGCTCAGACTAACAGTTTTAAAGTCACATTTCTTTGCACAAGTTAATACAGAGGCACCTAACTCCTTTTCACCGTACCCCCGGGCTGCTATCACTTCCACCTGGCCCACTTCGGCCCAGGCTGGAAAGCTTCCGGAGGCTCCTCTAATGGCATCACCTTTCTGAGTTCCGAGGATGGACTGCCTCAGGCCGGACACCCCATAGCTTCTAAGTGGTTCTAGGACACACGCCAGGACCCTACACCGCTGTCACTCACCATTGCAGGTGAAAAGTGTGGCCACAGTGGATGGCAGCCACGTCGCGTGAGTGATCGAAGAAGTCGGAGCAGATAGTGCACAGGGCGCGGATAGGCATGATGGCTCGACTCAAGTGGCCAGACTAGCCCGGGAAACTGCAACAGATCCAATTTGATGGCCGAACTGCCGCAGCTCCACTTCCTTCAAATTTCGCTCCACCGCACGACTTCCGGTACTGAACCGGAAGTTATGGCAACAAACCCAAGGCTGAGCAGTTCGCTCTGATTGGACACACTTCGGGGCGGGGCGGAGCGCTGGATCGGCTAGGATAAGCGGCCCGCTAGCCGTGCGGAATCCTGGGACTTAACACGGTACCTCTTGGGAATCGCCTGGGAGTGGGTTCCCATTTCTACCAGTAGTGTCCTGCAATGGACTGGGGCGGAAAACAGTGACGCTGCAGGCTGATCCCTATCCCGGCTAAACTGAGTATTGTGTCAAACTAGAGCTGGCGCGAAGCAAACCAGACCTCTTCTTGCTGCACTTCGGGACAATCAAATAGACTGACATCCCAAGGTCCCATGGTCCCATGGCTATGGAAAGTGATAGACCATGCTCTGGCTGCCCACAGTTCCCAGACCAAAAGAAGGCCCCCGCTTTCTCAGCCTTCTATTATGAATGGTCTTGGAAAGATGAACACATTAAGTCCCAACCCATCAAAACACTACACTAGCCTTGGCTTTATTCAAATAAGACCTAATAATCCTCGAAACTAGGTAGCTACTAGGGCCAGTAATTTAGCTCTTACCTCCCAGGTTCCTCATGCCTGGGAATGTAGGATAATGACTTTGGAGGCACAGATGCTTCAAAGACCAGGAAATAACAAACCCTCTTTATTATTCCCACATCAGATAATTTAAGGTCCTCCCTGAGAAAGCAACCCAGGTGAGTTCACCAAAGCCCGTCTGAGCTGAAGCAAGTCTCCTAAGGGATTTTTACGATATAGTTAGCAGTATTACTCCCCCAGAAGAAACAAACATGACTCCATATTATAAAGCAGATCTGCTCCAGCTGGGGAAGACAGAGTGAAATCTTTTTGGTCTAAGTGGAAAGCACAGGTATTCACAGGAAGTAGGCATCAACATACAGCACAGAACTTATGTGCAATCCCACCCTCTCCCCAGCCCAAAGAGGCCCACTCTAGCCATGAGCAAGGTCTCCTCTCCCTGTAGTGGTTGGCCCTGAGTGGATTCCATCTCTATGTCCAAGTTAAGACAAAAGCTCTTTGGTCAACAATAGTTGGAAAAGCATCAGCCCTTCAAGTGCTCATCTCAGGGGATAGTTCTTGGCTGAAACACATCACTCACATGGTTTCCTAGAGTCCAGAGGATCCTCATCAACATCATTCAGGTACACATTGGAGAAGGTGACCTTCTCCAAGCAATGCACTGAGCATCAGCCACTACCCAAATACCTGCTCCCAGCCTCTCCCCTCCCCCACTGCCTTCCATGGGCTCCTCCCCAATAGGACAGAGGAAGCAAAGGCAAGAGGGTGGCCAGAGGCTTTGCAGGGTGACGTTTATTTGCCAGGTTCAGCAGGCACACAGTTAGCCCACCAACCTTCACATACCAGAGCAGACCCACAGGCATGCAGGGAGAAGGGCAGGACCACCGTGGAGTGCCCGGCTAGGACAAGGCCCAGCGTGGCTGCCTGTTCAGGCTGTGATTGGGTCGGACCAAGGGTACCTGCCAAGAGCATCCCTCCAGTTACTGAGGAATCTTATTCTACTCCCTCATCCCAGCAAGAGCAACTTAACATGGCTGAGTGATACCCAGCCTGGGATAGCAGAAATAGAGGAAAATCCTCTCTGTTGCTGAACAAAGAGCAGAAATCTGCCACTGTCCAAAGCAAACTCTCAAGCAGCCTATGAGGTACTGCCATGCCTCCCTGGGAGGAAGAGGATGTATGGCCTGAGTCTGCATGAGGTGGCCATTGAGTAAGATCTCTTCCCGAGGCAGTAGCATCTAGGAAGACCCTGGGGGACACCAGCCCTCCCTATCCAGCTCAGAGCAAGGACCCAGATAGGGTGGGGCCCTGGTGCTCGCCCTGTACTCTGTTCTAGGTCTCGCTGCTGCAGCCTCACTGTTTCTCTCCTTTCCTTCAGAGTTTTGTAAGAATCAGGATACAGAGCAACCCACTACAGGACTAGGGAGGGCAAGAAATAACACAAGGATCTTCAGAGGGCCTACCCAGGGGAAAAGATGGAAGCTTCTACCCTTCTACCCATTCTCTCTCCCACTTCTGAGGATCCCCACAGCTAACGTGCAGTGCCCCCAACCATGTGACCAGACTGGACTTAAAGCACACTGCCCTAGATTTCTGCATCCTCTCTAGCAGCCAGTGTCTACTCCGAGAGCAGCCCACACACCACAGGTACACACCTTCATGTGCGGGAGCCTAACACTGCTGATAGGGCCTCGCTGGAGGACCAGCTCTCAGGGCAAGGCCACCCAATTTAGGGCCTGGGAAAGTATGAGACTTGCAGGGCCTGCCTGGGGAAATGATGAGGCAGGGAGGGGAGGAGACGGAGAGCAAGGACCCCCTGAGTATCCCTAGAGCAGCATCCCACAAGGAACAGAAACTGGTGAAGCCAGCGAAAGACAGAAAAGCCACAAGGAATCCATGCAGGGGCTGGGGCTGGCCCTGCCTCTGGCCTGCCCACCACTCACACACATTCACACAGGAGACGAGACTGCTCTCCCATGGCCCCCAGGCATGCCCCACTGGGATGAGGGAGCTTGGGGGGGAGCTAGAGCATCATGCCAGTGACTCTATATACAATTAGAAGCCCCTCATCCACACTCCCACCCTCCTTCCCATCCCTCAAGACCCCCAGCGGGCTGCCCGTTCAGCTCATCTTCTCCCTTTGAGACTCCTGGGCACCGCCAGCAGCCTCTTCTCCTTTACTAGAGGGAGGAGCCTGGCCTGTGGCACCCTCTAGGGCTGTGCTGTCCGGCTGGGCCACAGCCGGCTCGGGGGTGGCAGCTGCCTTTGCAGCTGGCACGGCGCTGCTTTGGGTGGTGGGCACTGTGCTCTCTTCTGTAGCTGGTGTAGCTCTCCCATCAGTAGCTGGGGTGGCACTCCTGTCAGTGGCCGGAGTGACGCTCCCATCTGTGGCCGGAGTGACGCTCCCATCCGTGGCCGGAGTGACGCTGCCATCCGTGGCTGGCGTGGCGCTGCCATCTGTGGCCGGGGTAGCGCTGCGATCTGCAGAGGCTATATTATCACTCTCGGCAGCACACCCAGCATCGCCCTCTGTGGCTGCAGTCGTACTGCTCCCAGAGGCTGGGGCAGCTCCACTTGCAGCGGCAGCCACGGCCCCACCAGCGGCAGCCCCGGGTGCGGCAGTGTCTGATGTGGACTGCGCCGCAGCTGCGCCAGACTGCTCTGGCGCCCGGAGCCGTTTCATGAGCGTGGTCACTCGGACAGCCTTCTGAAAAGAGGACCGTGAAGAAAGGCTCGTGGTGAGGTTTGCTGGATCCACTCCTTCCAAATGGCTAGCCCAGACCCTTCCATAGTACCCCAGCTGCCTCCCGCCACCCAGCCAGTCAGTACTTCAGCTTAAGATAACAGCAGAATCTACAGTCGCATAGGATAGCCTGGGGAAAATTTGTGTTCAGCTGAAGAGGTGCAGCGGCAGCAAGAAACTGTGGGTGCAGGAAGAAGCACTTGGAACTGGACCAAGAAGAAAGCAAGCCAAGCCCTACCTTCCACTTGGCTCTGGCGAAGTTCTTTTCAATCTGGGCACAGACACCATCCTTGATGTTCTTATCAGAAGCAGCATTACCAGAAATCCTAGAAAGGAGGCCAGTGTCTCTGATGAGATGCTGTGCCTTCATGGAGACTACACAGCTCTTCCCTGTGTGATCGAGCACCACCAGGCAGAGCCTCTGCTTTGGCCAGAGCTCTAGAAAGCCTCCCTTCCCTGACTGACCTTCAGGACCCCGAGGATAAAAACTTCTGTTGCAAGAAGTTCAGAGGGCAACAGAAACTTGGCAGCCTCCACTTCCACTCTCCACAGGGCCCTGCTCACCATTCATGAGAGATGGCCTCTTCTGCAGTGATCCGCTGGTCTTGCTCCACCTCCATCAGCCTTGTGACCAGGTCTTTGGCTGGGGACAAAGTCAGGGATGGGCTAGGCATGGGCGCCCCATCTCATTGTCTAGATGTGATGAATGGGCTGGGGAGCAGGAGTAAAATCCAGGAGACACTGAGAGCAGCACCTCCCTCCCTCCAGCCCTATACTCTGCCCACATGCTGGGTATCTCCTCACCTGCCTGAGAAATATCGTCCCAGTACGGAGAGTCAAACTCATAGTCACCAGCCAGGATCTTGCGGAAGAGATTCTTATCATGGTTCTCATAGTCATCTTCTTCTACCTCCTCATAGAAAGGTGGGTTGCCTGAAAGGCTACATGGAGCAGGGTCACCCGTGACGGCCACAGACACAACTGTCCGGCCAACCTGGCTGCAAGCCCAATTATGTGCCCTTTCACTCACAGGATGTACATGATGACACCAATGGCCCAACAGTCCACAGGGCGTCCATACCGTTGCCGTCCTACCACTTCCGGTGCTAAAGAAGAAAAGCATCCATCTGCCGGTCAGTATCAAGGATAACCATCCATACCCTCTTCCTGGAACAGAGACTTTTCCCCACCCCAAAGTCTCTCCCTGAAGGCTGTCCCTCCACCATCCCCTGTCCCATCCCTCCTTGCCCAGATACTCCGGGGTCCCACAGGGCTCCTTGATGAGGCCATTCTCTAGCTTAGCCAGGTGGAAGTCACTGATGACAATCTTTGAGTTCTTCAGCCTGTTGTAGTACACCAGGTTTTCCAGCTGTCCGGAACAGAAGGGTAGAAGGGTGGGCAGACATTACTGTGAGGGCCTCAGAAGCTGGATCAAGGGCCCAACGTGGCACTCACTCCATCCCCAGCCCAGCTGTCAAGCGATCCAGTCACTCTGGCTCTGGCCTTACCTTGAGGTTCCTGTGCACAATCTTGAGTGAGTGCAAGTAGGCCACAGCCTCCAAGACCTGCCGCACCACGTTGCTCGTGTCTCGCTCCGAGTAGTAGCCCTGGTCCAGGATCCAGTCAAACACCTCCCTCCCCGTGGCCCTGAGGGACACCAGCCCCTGAGCCCGGCGTGGGCAGGAGGACAGAGCATTTGGGAGGCCTGACTTGTAGCAGGCACTTGGCTGGGTAGGGTCCAGGGCCTTGGGACCACAAGGGTTCCAAAAGTGGATTTTTTTTTTTTTTTAGCTATAAAGGGAGGAAAAAGAAAAGGTCCTAGGGACTGGGGGATCCTGGAACCCCAGAATTGTACTCACAGCTCCAGGAAGATGAAGTATTCCTTGCGGGTCACAAACACATCTACCAGCTGCAGGATGTTAGGGTGCTTCACCCTAGTAGCAGTGGGAGGAGTCAGTAGTCAGGGCTTGGTGAACCCGAGAGAAGCTCTGGTTCCTAAGGTGGGTGGTTATAACAGACTGACTGGCACTTCCTGAGGCCCCCTGCCCTTTAAGCCCTTCCCTGCCATCTCCTATCCCACTCTTCCCTCCATCCTCACACTCACATCTTGAGGATGCCAATCTCATTCTTAGCCGCCTTCCGCACCTTACGTCCATCCCGCTTCTGAAACTTCTTGCAGGTATGCAGCTTGCCTGTTGTCTTGTCCTTGGCCCGGAAGATTTCACAGAACTCCTCACTGAAGCCAGCAAGCATTCTGCTCAGCCTAGGCCTTGGGACAGGGGACACTCCACTCCCCCTTCCCCAACTCTGGTCTATCCACCCATCATTGCCCAATATGCCCAACACTCACGTCTTGATGACTTGTCCCAAATCATATCTGTCAGTCACCTCCGATGGCTGGTTATAGTTCTTCTTGTCGCCCAGAGTCACACACCCAAACGGCATTGCTAGGCTCTAAGATGCAAGCAGGATGAGGTCTGACTCAACTGTACCATTTTCTACCCCCGTCCCCCACCAACAACATTGAATCTGCTTTTGGGAAACCCCAGTCCAGCTCAGGTCAAGTGAAGGGCAAAGTAGGCAAACGCAGACCTGCTTTGCTTTTTCAGGTCATACTGCAGCCACTCAAGCTGGCTGCCTGAGCTACAACAGCTCCCACTAAGCAAAAATTTACTCAGTTGACATATTAGGAAGTAGCTTTTCATTAGATACACTTGAAAAGACTTACAGAACAATTCGTTTACTTATTTAGTTTTGATTTTTGAGACAAGGTCACACTATATAGCCCTAGCTGCTCTGGACTCGATATATAGAACAAGCTAACCTGGAACTTGCTGGAATCCTCCTGCCTCTAGTAATGGGATTAAACCATCAATTTCTTTAGGGTCAGCTAGATGGCTCACCAGGTAAGGGCAT